CTTAGCGGTTAGACCATTGACCACGCGTCCTCGAGAGGACGGAGCATTGTTCCCACAGGACCGATCACCGATGGCCAATCGTTCCTTCCTACTTTGCCAAAGGTGGCTCAAAAATGTCTTCCCTAGTCTGTCTATCCTAACGATATATCTTCCCGCCTGTTCAAACCACCTCCTATGCCCCAGTACAGCTACCGTCCTTTCCTCATCTCCTGTTGCCTCAAACATCTCCCTGTACGTTCCATCTATTTTTCCCAGCTCAGTCACGTACACTTCCCTCTCCTTCTTGTACAACGGACATTCCGCGACTACATGAACACGGTCTTCGCATTCGAAGCCGCAATCACATTTGAACTCGTCGTCTTCCTCGTCTACCGTCCTATGTCTTCGTCGACGTTCTCGAAGGCCTATGTCCCCGGTCCTGAATTTGACCTTAAGCTTTGTTCCTGCATCCATTGGTCCATGTAGGTAGTCCTTGAACCCTATTCCTTCCTTCAACATTCCGTACACTTCTAGACCCTCCTTATCCTTGGATTCTTTCCTCAGATTCTGTTCTTCTCTCTCGGCACAAGCAACAGATATCTTCTCCTTGAACCCCTGTAGACCCTCCGTTTCCAGCGTTTCATCTTCGTCGATGTCGAGCCCCTTCCATACGTCCTCTACAACCTTGACCCATTCCGTGGGTTGTCTACCCCTCTTTTTGTTTGCCCACTTCGCCTCCCATACAATTCTCGGCAACCTCTCCTCTCCCATCCCGCACATGCGATACTGCCAGGTCAGCTTCCTCGCGTCTCTTCCCGACCGTAGGGATTGGATCCCCAATTCTGCCCTCACGGCTGCATTACTTGTGCGCCTGGAGCATCCTAGGATGGTTTTCGCTGCTTTCATCTGCGCCGCCTCGAGTTCTTTCACTACCTTCTTATTTCCTTCCCATACTTCTCCGGCGTACTCTAGCGGCGGTACGATTACGCTCTTCAAAACCGTCAATTTGATGCGTGTATCGAGGTGCCGGTTTGCGAGTATTGGATGCAGCTTCCCTGCTCGTGCTTTGCCCTTTTCCGCTACCTTGGACATGTGTGCATTCCACGAGCAGTCTTTTGAGATCTCTACTCCGAGGTATGTGTACTGGTCCCCTTCTGCGATCTCCTCGATCCCCCACTTCCATCTATGTTCTACTGGTTCCTCCTTGTTCTCGTTGCATACCATGACGGCACTCTTCTGAACGTTGGCAGACAATCTCCACTTATCAGTAAACTTCTTCGCCGCGTCAATTTGCAGTTGCAGTCCCTCAGGGGTGTCCGACATACCGACAAAATCATCCGCAAACAGCATTCCTGAAACCGACGTTTCCGTGTCCCCTACTTTTACTCCCTTCCGGACTGCCTCTACGACTTCCAACAGATCGTTGATGAACACCTGGAACAATGTTGGGGACAGCGTGCAACCTTGTGGGACCCCCTGCTCAATGTCGAAGAATTTAGACAGTTCTCCGTCTCGCATGACCGCGCTTTTCGTACACTCTGTCACCTTCTTCAGCACTCTCCACATTTTCCCCTTGATCCCGTACTTGGACAGTTGTTTCCACAACCCATTTCTCCATGCGGTGTCGTATGCCTTTTTCACGTCCAGGAACAAGCAGTACGTCGACTTTCCCGTCCTCTTTCTACCTTGGATGATTTAACCTACCGTGAATACGTGCTCTACGCACCCCCTCTTCTTTCGAAAACCTGCCTGGCCCTCACTAATGCTATGTTCCTTCTCCAATACTCCCACTATCCTATCGTTCAGCAGCTCACAGAACACTTTTTCGCACTGTATTCAACAGTGTGGTCCCCCTGTAGTTTCCTGGGTCAGTCTTGTGTCCTTTCTTAAATAAGTTCACAACCGACACATCGGGGGGGGGGGGGGGGGGGGGGGGGGGGGGGGGGGGGGGGGGGGGGGGGGGGGGGGGGAAGCTGATTCGCAGGCAGCACACACGCGTTGCTGGTTTCGTGGACCCCGAACAAGTTTTATCAAAACATAAAACCGCATACTCAAACTATGTGGTGGCACTTATTCGATACGTAATATCCCATACACAGGGTGTGCTTCTCCATTCGCTGCAATACGGCTGGGAACGGACGACCAATCTGCTTGGACACGAACTCCCAGTGACAAGTCTCGAAAACCGTGCAGCGGATAGCGAATACGTGAAGAACTGACAAAGGTACAAAGCTGTAGTTGTCCTACATAGAACTGGCGGGGACCGCAGCGGTCATCGAGACCCAGAAAGATAACATTGACCTCTTTCGCCCCTATTCACATCACCAGACACAATACCTTGCGACCACGACGTAGACGTTCGGACTCGAATTCGTTCGAGAGACAAAGATACCTTCCACTACCTCGAACATCGTTGTATACACGACGTGCTGCGAGTGCAGCTCGTAACCGCACTTGAGGGAATGAGCAAGGGTACCCACAGAAAATGAAAACGACATCTACGTCCTAGACAGGTCGAAATGAAAAAAAAATCTGTGGTACCGTAATTGCGAGAAAAGATAAAAATACATTTATATATATATATATATATCTTTTTTTTACTTAGTTCTAGGATACCCCCCCCCCTCAGCGCCTCTGGAGGGTACATACGTGTCAGAATATATGTTTTTCGGCACCCTTGGGATGAGCCAAACAAATTGTTACCCGCTTGTCGCGGAACAAAAGGAAAGAAAAAATAAGCACCCATGTATACAGGGAGGATTTGTTCTGCTCACACAGGTGATACTTGTACAATCCCAGTACTCAGCAGGTTTTCTCCCCCACTCACAGCAAAGAAACTCTAACCCTTCTACAGCTGTGGAATTGTCTCTAAAGGGTAGTCGTTCAGTGTCCATGTACTAGGGGCAAGGATTATCCCTCCGCCAGCCCGTGGGGCGGGCGGCCAATAATTGACGAATAGATGTGGAGGCGAAGATACAGGGCGAGGTTGTAGAAACTTGACGGGTGCTTCGAGCTCCACTCATCCTCTCGAAGAGGACAGAAATGATAAAAGTACGTGGGCAATCTTCTTTTTTTTCTCCCATCATCGGATTCTGTCGTCTCCCCCTCTGGTCGCCCCCCCCGGTGTTTGCCATCGGGGTTGGGTTTTCGTCGCTTGGCAACGACGTTGTAAAACAAGCC